ACACCCCGACATAAGTGATGAGGATGAGACAAAAAGTCTGCAGAGGAATGTAGGCAGGTTAAGCAAGTGGGCAAAAATTTGGCAGACAGAATTTAATGTGGGAAAATTTGAAGTTATACATTTTGGCAGGAAGAATAGAGGTGCTGAATATTATTTGAAAGGAAAAATATTGCAGAAAGATACAGAATAAAGGGGTTTGGGAGTCTTCCACCATGAACCACAAAAAGCTAGCATCAAAGTTCAGGGACTAGTAGGGAAGGCAAATGGAATGTTGGCCTTTATTTCAAAGGAAATGGAATAAAGAAGTAATGACATGTAACTGTTCTGGTTTGTTAAACAGTTGTGTTTCTATTTTGTAATTTTGCTGCTGTCTGTAGAAGAGCTGCCAGTTTTGTTCCAGGTTACCTGCCATTTTAATTGAGACTGGGAGAGGAAAATCTGCAGCCATTTTCTGTTCCCCAGTATTTCCAGTGCAGACTGTTTCTTTGTGTTTTCTTAAGGTTATTTCGATTGCTTCTACAGCTTTCACTGAACATTCCCATATTACTCTGACAGAAGCAGTGATTTTTTTTAACAGTTCTTCCACACTCAATCTCAGAAATCACATGACACCAGGTTATAGTCCAACAGGTTTATTTGAAATCACAAGCTTTCAGAGCACAGCCCCTTCATCAGGTGAAGTGGACTTCAGGTACATTTCCCCCCACTTCACCTGATGAAGGGTCTTCACTCCGAAAGCTTGTGATTTCAAATAAACCTGTTGGACTTCAACCTGGTGTCATGTGATTTCTGACTTTGTCCATCCCAGTCCAACACCAGCACCTCCACATCATAGCACTCAATCTCAGCTTCACTTCTGATACAATGGTCTGTGTTCAGAAGGCAACAGTCTGGCTGGAATAGAGTGGTTAAGATGGCTGAAATGCATGTCCCTCGTGGTAGAGGTCACAAAGCAGCAGCAGACCAGGAAGGACATTTGTACACAAGTGCATTTCAATTTGAACAGTAAGCATAATCAGTGACAGGTGTGATGCAGTGCAGCAAGAGGAGATGGGCTTTCTAGGGTGCAGAAGGTACGAAAGGCATGGTTTGTAGCAAGTACTAACCAGACAATTGTCAGCTACTTGGGCACAGCAAGAGGCAGCAAAGTGGGAGTTTGGATTGTGGAACATCACCTGGTCTCTGCAAAGCTGCAGAGACAGTCAACCATCTGTCCTGTACTAGCATTGGCTGTGAGCATTGCAGTATTCCATTGGGCCTTCCCAGGACACCACTCCATTGTGGAGGTACCTATATTCACATGAGAACATCTGGAATACAGCAGGAAAAGGTGGTATGGCCATTTGAACCTGCTTCATCATTCATTAAGATATGGCTAATCTTCCTCAAATATTCTGCTGACATCTACTGGCACAATGAGGCAACAGTTCAGTCACTGCAATGAGGGAAGTCATATTCCTGATATCAGAATGAGAACAGTCATTCAACTTTATTGTTTTGTCACGCATATATTTAAAATAATAGACTTACAGTTTTTAAATTCGCTCTTAGGATGTGGGCATCACTGGCTGGGCAAGCATTTATTGAACATCCCTAGTTGACCTTGAGAAGGTGGTGGTGAGCTGCCTTCTTGAACCACTGCAGTCCATGTGCTGTAGGTTGACCCACAATATTATGAGGGAAGGAATTCCAAGATGTTGATCCAGCCACAGTGAAGGAACAGCGATACATTTCCAAGTCAGGATAGTGAGTGGCTTGGAGAGGAGCTTGCAGGGGATGGTGTTCCCATGTACCTGCTGCCCTTGTCCTTCTAGATGGAAATGGTCATGGGTTTGGAAGGTGCTGTTTGAGGATCTTTGTTGAATTTCTGCAGTGCATCTTTAGATAGTATACACTGCTGCTACTGGGTGATGATGGAGGGAGTGGATGCTTGTGGAATCTGTATTCACAGTTTAGTTTCTATTGTGTAGGATTTGATGACCTGATTCCCTTGGTTAACTGATCAAACCTTGTCTGCTTCCTGATGAGTTAAGAAGCACCCAGTGTCTATTAACTAGTGACCGATGAAAGGCAGTTGAAGAATTGCAATTTAGAAATTTACAGCATTGATCCTAGTTCTTGATTTCAAAGACTCATGACAACAGTGTGCTCCATATTTAAAGAGAAATAAATTCAGAAAATGATGATGATTCCAAATTGTATGGTGATTGATTCTGGAAATGAAAGTTAGGAAATTAATTCATTCTACTTAGAAAAAAAAATTAAGGGATATGTTTCAAATTTAAAAGTCTTGAAGTGATCAGATAAGGTGGTGTAGAGAGGTTATAATATCGAAAACGATGATTTTGGAACCAGGAAGTATGAACAATGATGAGAAATGGAAACTGCAAAGTTATGGTTTAATTTCTATCATTTTATGGAGAAGAGTGCCACCTGCTGCCACAGAAACTCCATTCTGACATCCACAACAACATCGGATTAATTCTTGACTTATCAAAGAAGGCACGTGGATTTCAATTTGCAAGATATTTCTTTTGAAAGGTTTATGAGGACCTGGATAATGAGGTTGAATGGATTTTATTTTACATACAATCAGGATGCCTACAACCGGAATGCCTGGTTTAGGAGGGTAATAAAAATAACCAATATTCTCCCTCCTGACTGATATCCTGGATGTGCCTCATGAGTGTTGGATGGGGATAAGCATAGGGACTTTTTGTAACAATGTTCCCACTGAAGGACCATGTAAGAATAATGACAAATTGCAGAAGGTACTGGAGGATAAACAATATCCATGGAAGCCTACTGAAAAAACAGCTAGTGTTTTCTAGATGGGAAGGGAGAGAATTATAAGACAAATCTCACTGGATAATCTTCTATGTTTACAGAAAAAGAAGTAACAGGATGGAATGATGGATGAGTGACCTACGGGAGTATTGGATCTAGTTTTAAAGAGAGCTGGAACTACAGTTTCCTTTCAACAAAGAACAAAAGCTCAGAATCTTGAAAACAGACTTTGTTCTCATTAGTGTGATGGTGCATGCCCTTCATAATGTTTTCATAACATTTCTGTACTCTTGTGAAAGATATTTGCTTGGGGGAATGAACCACATTTCCTGATTTTAGCAAAAACCAAGGTCTGTTCGATATGTTCTAAATTTCTTTTGCAGCAATCGAATGTTACCTGAAGAAAAATAAGCCACATGCTTCCAAGCATGTTATCCTTTTACAAACATACAAACAAATGAATTAGAAGTTGGAGGCCATTCAGCCCTTTGAGCTTGGTCTGCAGTTCAGTAAGATCACGGCCGATCTTATTGTGGCCTCTCAACTCCGTTTTCTTGCCTGCTCCAATACCCTTTGCCGCTCTTGTTAGACAAGAATCCGTCTATCTTCACACTGTATTGAACCTGCTTCCATCATTCTCTGGGAAAGATAATTCAACAGACTCTGAGAGAACAGACCTTTACTCATCTCTATCTTAAATGGGAGACCTGTATTTTGCAAACTGTGTTCTCTAGCCCAAGTTGATACAGTGTGAATCGGGAGAACACAGCAGGCCAGGCAGCATCAGAGGAGCAGGAAAGTCGATGTTTCGGGTTTACACCCTTCATCAGGCATTAACCAGAAACATCAACTTTCCTGCTCCTCTAATGCTGCCTGGCCTGCTGTGTTCCTCCAGCTCCACACTGTGTTATCTCTGACTCCAGCATCTGCAGTTCTTGCTATCCCCTAGTCCAAGTCTTTCTCACTAGAGAAACATTTCAGCATCCACCCTGTCAAGCAGGATCATGTATGTCTCAATAAGATCAGTTCTCAATCCTCGAAACTCCAATGAATACAGACCCAAGATGGCAGAGCTTTCCTCATCCCAGGAATCAGTCGAATGAACCTTCTCTAACCTGATTCAAATGCAATTATGTCCCTTCATAAATAAAGAGATGCAGTCCTCTAGATGTGATCTCACCAATACTCTGTACAGCTGTAACAAAACATCCCCACTTTCATATTCCAATCTCCTTATAATAAATTATAAGTTATATTATATTATTATAAATTATATTATAAACCACCTTCTATTTGCCTTTCTAACCACTTGCTGTCTCTGCATATCAACAATTTGAGGTTCTCATACTTAGGACATCCGGATCCCTCTGTACCTCAGAGTTCTGCAATCTCTCCCTATTTTAGCTGTTTTTCCTGTTGCAGCATGGATCTTACAGCTCCTCTGACATTGCAGGCTTAGTTAAAGATTTGTTATAGTTTTATTACAATTATTATATTTTAAGTATAAGATTTTTGTTCATTTTATTTCATTAACATTCAAA